ATTTACCATACCATGGTCCGCCTTTTTTTGAATACCGGGCGTAATTTTGGACCAAATGGACTCAATTTTGTTAGTTAGACAAACAAAATTTCCAATAATATACAAAAAATTTCAGATCAATATCATTTACAGATCCAAAAATATACGTTTTTTAATTTAAAAATTCAAAAACTTTTAGATTTTTGCCGTTTTTTTGCCAAAAATGTGTCTTAACTCTTTTATTAATAAAATAAAATTTTCCTTAAGAACATATAACAATTTTATAGTTTTCTAAAAGGTATCTTTACGCAGAACGCTTTGGCGTAAAAAACTTGTCCTATTTTTTGAAAATGTTGCCACTGCGTCCTTCCGAATATGACCTATTTTTTTATCAAAACTTCAACTTTGGGCGACATGTTCTAAAATCCCAAAGCTGGGATCAGAAAACTGAAAGCAGTTTTGGAAACCTCAATATGTTTTATATTTACTCCAAAAGTATTTTCCCAGCCCTGAAAGAAATGTGGACCCTATGGGCAAAAATGTAAAAAATCCCATTTTTGGGATTTTCGTTCCTATTTTTGAGAATTGCGAGATGCCCTTTGACCTTTTCAATTTTTTTTTTTGCATTTTCTTATTTGAAATGACAAATTTAACAAGCGTTGAAAATTTCATTGAGTTTTGTTCATAAATAAAGATTTTGTCTTATATTACATATTTGTTAAATTTCTAAAACTATGATTTATATCAAAATTTTAAGAGGGTCGCAGATTGCTACAACAATTTAGTCCATATTTATCCCTTAATATATTTTTTTAGTTAGATATGGAAATTCTCGACCCTTTACAAAAAATTTCAAGCCAATATCTCAATTACATTCAAAAATATGTTCATTTAAACCTGTGTCCTTAAATTTCATCTTTTTCATATTTTAGTATTAAGTATGACAGAACATACATTTGGTGTTGAATAAAATATTTGGACAATTTTTAAAAATTATTTAGTTAATTATTTTATTAAAGACTATAACATTGTATATACAATAAAAAAATTATAATTTTATTATGAGCCACGCACAACAACACTTAAATCACCCCACACAAACCACCTTTCCCGCCCACCGAAATATAAAACACAATTTAATACAATATCATCAGTTAGTATAATAGCTTTTTTTATTTGAACTGTTTATCTTAAACATAATACAATTAATTCTTACAACCTACTTATATAGTTAATTCCTAACACTACTTATTTTCTATAAAATAATCTGTCATATCGGTATACATATCCAGAAGGTAATATAAGTCCTTTAAATCTTCCTTGTTTTGAGATGATAGAGTTTCATAACAAATCCATCTTTTTCGCATAGTTGAAAGAACAGGATCAGAAGATAGAAGTAAACTATTAAAAATATCTTCATTTTGTGATTGCCTGGAGCATTTTCTTGAGCTGAATAGTTGAATATGCTTAAAATCTCGATTCCTCGCTTCCTGGGCTTCTTCTGTTAACTCTCCAAGTGGAAGAATATTTGATTCAATTATTATTTGACCATGACACAATACTTTGTGTACTGTTGGTGTTAGTTCCCTCCATGGATACAGAGATGCAAGTAATTTATAAATTTCAGATGTATATTCCCCAAATCGATTTCCATTATTTTTATGTTTACTATTCAGTGCCATTAAAATAGTGTTAACTCTTCGAAGCAACTCCTTGTCGATTCCAGTTATTTTTAAAGTAATTTCAAAATCACGAAAAAACCTTCTCGCCGTATTACCGTCATTTGTACTACCACAACTTGGAAGTGGTTTGTCGATGTTTAATCCCATCTGAACTTTAAATTCTTCTTGGATTCTGCTTTTTTCCGCAGCTCTCAGTTCTTTCAATTCTTCATTATTTTTTGTTGATTTAGTAAGATTCTCTGGCACACTTCTCCAAAAATCGTATTCTGGCATGAAGTGGTGAAATTCCGAAAGACAGGACTTCTTCATTAATACTTCTGCTTTTGTTTATATTTGAGAATTTCGACTTTTTCTCATTACATATTGAGCATCTCCAGAAGGAAGAAGTTTCTGTTATGGCATTGCTGGCCTTTCCATCAATCATTGTTAAGCTTAGCTGATATGATACGTTAATAGAGAATTCCTTTATTTTTATGCAAATGGGCTCCTAAATCTTTTGTTGTTTTCTTTGACTCTTTTATATATACAAATCCAATGGGTCTACAAATATTTTTTGAACCCGGAGTTGTATTGATCCATATATCTTCAAATGAATTTCCGATGCTTGACGATGATGGATTAAGGGAATATGAACGAATTCGTAATGGCACTAATGTTGACATAAATAAACATAAACATCACAGTTATGAATTTTCCTTAGTTGGCCTTCTGAAAAGTCTGACACAATTCTTGATGCTGTGTTTTCGAGCAAAGATGATATATCAATACAAGCTTCCACATCATTAACAGCAATAGGTGATGGTAGGATAGTTTGTTTTTTTTCCTGGATCGCCTTGTATGATGGTAATATATTGTGTCCTTTTTCAAGCAGAGCTTTCCTTAATATTTGGTACTTATTTGGACTGAGACCCAGTTCCAACATAAGCGCTATTGCTTCCTCTTCAGTAAAATTTGATTGTGATGTTGGAGTTGGTATACTTTCCACAATTCGCTTAAGTCGTTTTGGTGATGCATTAGGAAGAATAGTTGCAATATGTACGGCATCCATAGGTTGGTTTTCCTTTTTCAGCATTTCGTTAAATGTATCAGCAGTTTCCTCATTTGAGATTGAAAAAAGTTTTTGTGTGACCCTCTTTTTTTTTGACCTTGAACATAAGTCTTCGTATGACTTGCAAGGCGCTCCTGTTGATGTGTTGTAAGTTGAGATTTCCGTAGTAGTTTCCATCCAACTACAAAATTTTAATCGAAATTTCTTTTGATTTCCATCCACAGACTTACTTTTTACATCAAAAAGTTTTCAATTTTTGATATGCCAGTTTTGTCTACTTTTCTACTATATGTAGTTTTTATATAATTTGAAATGTCTTCAATTCTTTCTGGCCCTTTTGAAGATACACTCCATAAAACGGAACACAACTCTTCGTACTTTAATGTAATCTTCATTGTAGATTTATTAAATATGGTACTTAAAATCTGAGAAGTTTACTTATATACCAATTCTTGTCATTTCCGATACAGGTATTCCAAAGTAAAAAATTACGAATTGTCTACCTATTAACATTTAGGACTATATTACTATAACCTGTAATTCAGTCATTGATATTTCTTATTAGTGAATGAATCGAAATTATCATTACCTGTATATTTTTACCTACATGATCATAAACGAAACAGAACGAAATGATCTGTCGAAAAAATTTAGGTAAATAGTTATAAATTTCTGAAAATTTAAGCATAATAGGACCTTTCAATTATAAGGATAAGCAAACAAATAGAAAATAGGTAAATATAAGATTTAAATATGTTCTGTCATATTTAATACTAAAATATGAAAAATATGAAATTAAAGGATACAGGTTTAAATGAACATATTTTTGAATGTAATTGAGATATTGGCTTGAAAATTTTTGTAAAGAGTTTCCATATCTAACTAAAAAAAGATATTAAGGGATAAATATGGACTAAATTGTTGTAGCAATCTGCGACCCTCTTAAAATTTTTATATAAATCATAGTTTTAGAAATTAAACAAATATGTAATATATGACAAAATATTTATTTATGAACAAAACTCAATGAAATTTTCAACGCTTGTTAAATTTGTCATTGCAAATAAGAAAATGCAAAAAAAAAATTGAAAAGGTCAAAGGGCATCCCGCAATTCCCAAAAATAGGAATGAAAATCCCAAAAATGGAATTTTTTACTTTTTTGCCCATAGGGTCCACATTTCTTTCAGGGCTGGGAAAATACTTTTGGAGTAAATAGAAAACATATTGAGGTTTCCAAAACTGCTTTCAGTTTTCTGATCCCAGCTTTGGGATTTTAGAACATGTCGCCCAAAGTTGAAGTTTTGATAAAAAATTGGTCATATTCGGAAGGACGCAGTGGCAACATTTTCAAAAAATAGGACAAGTTTTTTACGCCAAAGCGTTCTGCGTAAAGATACCTTTTAGAAAACTATAAAATTGTTATATGTTCTTAAAGAAAATTTTATTATATTAATAAAAGAGTTAAGACACATTTTTGGCAAAAAAACGGCAAAAATCTAAAATTTTTTGAATTTTTAAATTAAAAAACATATATTTTTTGATCTGTAAATGATATTGATCTGAAATTTTTCGTATATTATTGGAAATTTTGTTGTCTAACTAACAAGAAAAAATTGAGTCCATTTGGTCCAAAATTACGCCCGGTATTCAAAAAAAGGCGGACCAAGGTATGGTAAATTTTGTATCACTTAATTTTTAAATGCCTATAACTCGGATATTATAAGAGATAAGTAATATGTCCAAGCATGTTTTTTCAAGATCTCGTCGACCGCTTTCAGAAAATATAAAATCTTTGTATTTGGGTGAAAAACAAAAAAATGGCACGAGTTTAAAAATTTTACATGTCGTAGGTACCCTACTTTGAGCCGCCACAGCGCCGTCCCTGGGGCATCTGCAGGGTTCATCTTCAAAACTTAAACTCGAATACTCCTTGGCTACTCTCACGCCGGATCGGATCAGCCGTTTAGATATGCCAGATTTATTTCCAAAAAATTTCGATTCTGTCCCACTGTGCGATCGTAACGCAGAATACAGACATTCGTAAAGCATTGAAACGAAATGGAATTGTTTCTTCTTTTTCTTACGATTCAGTTTTTTGTTTGAATACCTTTTTTCGATCGTTGCATAACTGAATGCGTAAACGTAATCGAAATGCAGAATAGGGGTGAATAACTGACATGTAATACTTGAGTTAAAAGTTTTAATAAACTCGCGAAAAATTAAATTATTTCTACAGTTTTGGAGAAAATATTCATACATATATTATTTGTTTTATTGAAATAAAAAACTTTTATCTTTCTTGACAATATAATGTTTTATTTTGAGCATATTAATCTATATAAATTCAATCCATTAGGAATCGAACACTTTTTGTATTATCCAAATGAACTTCATCAAAACAAGTTTGCATTATATTTAATGTATATTCTAATCGTTCTATTGATTCAGATAATACTCGCGATGCTTTGCTATACACTAAATTATTGTCATTTTCATGTATTTTACAAATATCTCTTAATTTTATCGTGGAATATTGGATTTTTTGAATATGTGCTTTTACTAGTTTTTCAAAATCCATTTCTTTATTAGTTTTGTAATTTGCCGAATTATTTATTTGTTGTGGTTTCGAAATCTCTGCCTTTAAAATAGTTTCTTTAAACGCACTTATATTTAGATTAATTCGACTAGCATTGAGTGAGTCATGAACGCTATCATTTAAGCTAATGTCCATTTTTTCCCACTCAATGTCAAAACAATTGAATATGTTTTTTGAATTCCAATTTTCTTGTTCACGAATACTTTCGAGCCAAACTTCGAGTCTGGCAATAGGCCATTCAGCCTTAAGTTCATTTCCTTTGTCTATTATTAATATTTTAGTCTGAAATATTCCAAATTCGTCAATTACTTTTGACTGTTTAAATTCGTACAATAAGCCATGATTGCGGCAATGTTGCGTGGCTTCTTTCACCTGAAATAGAAAAATATTTAATAAGTATTTTTTTAATAAAAATATATAGATATTTGTGTAGAACAGCGATGTACATATGTACAATGAAATGAAGCTATTATAAAATAATAAAAGACATTACAGTCGTCTATATGAAGTTACAATATTAACAAGTGCGTTTTATATTATCTTAGCTGTGCCGTTAGTTTTATTGAAAGTAAATTTCCACTGATTGACAACGGGTTATGGTCCCAACGCAAATATGTCTGTCATAGAATTAGTTTTTGCAAAATCAAACAATTTGATGGTAGGAACTTTGAATCTTGGAAATGTAGAGTTGAAAATTTCTTGGAGTCTCAAGGTGTTCTGGATATTTTAACCGTTGATAAACCAATAGTAACAAAAGATAATGCACTTGAAGTTACGTCATGGAATGAAAGAAATTCAACTGCAAAAAATCTGATTATATGCTTAGTGGATGATAACTATTTGGAATATATAAAAAGTAAAACAACGGCGAAACAAATGTGGAGTGCTCTGGTCAGTACTTTTTCTGGAACAAATATGGCCAAGCAAAATATGTTAAGAACGTGTGAATGTGTGCGTGAATTAGTGGCGGCTGGTGCAAAGTTGGAGAACAATGCAATTATTTATCATTTATTTAACTCATTTCTCGAACATTTTCAGCCACTAATAACTGCACTTGAAAATTTGCCTGACGAAACACACACAATGGGATATGCCAAGTCAAGGCTCTTAAATGAAGAGATGCGCCAAAATGTAAGTAGGGAACTAGTTGGTGAAAGTGTTGGTGCTCAGGACACTGTTTTTTTATACGGGCTTTAATGGCGAGTGCTACAAGTGTAAAAAGAAAGGGCACAAGAGTTTCGAGTGTCCACAAAATAAAAGAAATAAATTCAAGAAACGTGGTCCTAACAGAAAACGAAGCCGTGGCGGCAATAATAAGAATAGTGAAAGTTCTGCTGTAGCCTTTATAGTGGTAGGTGACGACTGCGAAAAATATAAATGGATTTTAGATTCGGGAAGTACAAGTTTTGTGACAAATAATTTGAAGTCATTAAATTCTGTTGTAATTCTTGATGAGCCACTAGCTATCAGTACTGCACAGGAAGGTGTGTTGATTATGGCAACTCACAAAGGTGTTTTTCTGGGTTTTATAAAAGTTCGAGGCGACATCGTAAAAATTTAAATAAATGAAGTACTTTATGCAAAAGATTTTCTCTCAATCAAAGTCCTTCAAGAAAAAGGTCTGGGTGTAATTTTTACTCATAATCAACAATGTAATCAACAAAATAATCAACAATGACCGTAGTCGGTAACTTAGCGGATTCATTGTACGTAGTAAACTTAATAAAAAGTGATGCACAAGTAAACATATGTGAAATTGACGACGAATTGTGGCATCGGCATAGGTCACATAAATAAGTCATATCTAAAGAAGTTGCAAGTTAACAAAATGGTGGCTGGTTTTAAAGCAGGTGAGGAAAATTTCATGTGTGATAATTGTATAAAAGGCAAACAATCTGAGTTGCCTTATAAAAAGCATCATCAAAAATCTCAAGAATTCTTGCAAGAATTCACTCGGACGTTTGCTGCCCGATTACACCTACTACACATGATGGTTATAAATATTTTCTAAGCTTTATAGACCCAGCAAAAACTCAGTAATGGGCTGTACTTCCATAACCACATACTTTTCAATGACTACTACTTACCGTCTGCAGTACTTAGAAGTACTCTAGTAATGTCTTTCTTATAATCTGATATAGAAGTACTTTATTTTCGGCTTTGTCATTTTGTTTGCACATTTTATTTAATCGCGAGTTAACAATTGTGTTTTATAAAAAAGAAAACAAAATTAGATTTGTATGTGAAAACCATTATTTGACGCGCAATAAAATAGCTAAGCAGTGCACGGTGGTCAATTCCGGCCAAAAATGATTTATTTGAATTATTTAATTCTGATAAATTTTTGATGGTAGGTTATAGCTTACACTTCAAATCATACAATTTAAATCATATTTTGATTATTGCTTAACCTTGCAAAGTTGATAATATTTGCATGTCGTTTTAAGGTTTTTAAATTAGATTTTAGACACCTTTACGTAAATGAAATCTATGATTTTTCCTTAAAGTTTTTCTTTATAAATTAGCACGTGTTTTAAAGTAGTCTTAGTAAGTAATCATTCCATGTGGTTATTGCGATTTTGTGCGGTTTGTGGCCTACTTTAAAAACTAAAAAAAGCTATACAAATCCAAATTTTGAAAGACCGTAGAAAAGGAAAAGGGGCTATAAGAGTTTGGGTGAACATTGTATCAACTACTGTTATATATCAGGAGTAAGTATTATAAATTTCATCTGCAACTTCCTGCAACTCTAGTAACTAGAGCATTTTTAATGACTTCGTCTATTACAAATGCTGAACTTTTCCATATATTTCAACTTGATAAAAATAGAGAACAGGACGACATATTATCAATAGTACAAAACCAAATGGAGAAGGGTCAATTATGGGCTAAACTAAATAAAATTTGACAGAAGGATTTTACCGCCTATAAAACTTGTTTATGGTGATATTTATGTTTATGCTGATATTTATCACTCAGTTAAATCCTGTTTCTTAAGGATCCTTATATAGGGGAGGGTCAATTATGGACCAATTGTCATAAACTTTGATACACATATTTAGGTTTATATAAAACATGTTTGTGTCGAATTCCATTGCTAGACAGATATTTTAAAGCCAGTAATGAGTGTTAAAGTAATTTTTTGAAAGGAACCTAATATGGGAGGTATGGTCAATTATGGACCAATTCTTATAAAATTTTATAGTGAAATTTAGGTTCCTATAAAACATGTTTGTGTGGAATTTCATTGCCATACAAATATTTTTAAACCAGTAATGAGCGTTAAAGTAAGTATCTGAAGGGGATCTTATATGGTAGGTAGGGTCAATTATAGACCGACTGCACAGTGGGGCAGAATCGAAATTTTTTGGAAATAAATCTGGCATTTCTAAACGGCTGATCCGATCGGGATAAAATTTTGCGTGAGCGTAGCCAAGGAGTATTCGAGTTTAAGTTTTGAAGATGAACCCCGCAGATGCCCCAGAGTAGGGTACCTACGACATGTAAAATTTTTAAGCTCGTGCCATTTTTTTGTTTTTCATCCAAATACAAAGATTTTTATATTTTCTGAAAGCGCTCGACGAGATAAAATATTTTGAATTTTTAAATTAAAAAACGTATATTTTTGGATCTGTAAATGATATTGATCTGAAATTTTTCGTATATTATTGGAAATTTTGTCTAATTAACAAGAAAAAATTGAGTCCATTTGGTCCAAAATTACGCCCGGTATTCAAAAAAAGGCGGACCTCTTTTTAAATTTTGTATCACTAAATTTTTAAATGCCTATAACTCGGATATTATAAGAGATAAGTAAGTAAGATCTCGTCGAGCGCTTTCAGAAAATATAAAAATCTTTGTATTTGGGTGAAAAACAAAAAAAATGGCACGAGTTTAAAAATTTTACATGTCGTAGGTACCCTACTTTGAGCCGCCATAGCGCCGTCCCTGGGGCATCTGCAGGGTTCATCTTCAAAACTTAAACTCGAATACTCCTTGGCTACGCTCACGCCAAATTTTATCCAGATCGGATCAGCCCTTTAGAAATGCCAGATTTATTTCCAAAAAATTTCGATTCTGCCCCACTGTGGATTGCCAGAAAATTTGGTCGAGAGGTTTAGGTTCCTATAAAAATATTTTGTGTCAAATTTTATTGCTTTACTAGTATTTTAACCCAATTATCAGCATTTAAGAAGCGTATAGGGGGACTAGGGTCAAATATGTCCGCCATACTTTATGGGTGCATAAAACTGACTTGTGTTAAATTTCATGGAAATTGCTTCATATTTAACGTATTTATGAGTATTTAAAGAGTTTTCTGAGGGGTCACTTGTATGGGGCTAGGCGAAATCTTCAACCGATTAGTCTGTACCAAATAAACCTTACCTATAAGAAACATTTGTGGAAAATTTCAGCTATTTATTTAAAGAAATATAGAAGTTATAGATTTTTGGACGAAATTTACCACCGTGCAGTGGTGCATTGAGTAGAACATTTGACTAATAAACCGAAGTCCCTGGTTCGTATTCTAGCTATTATTAAAAAGCAAAACAACTTACTCATCAACTTACTGAACAACTGTTTTGTAAGAGAAATTGCAAGTACTTCTTTAACTCCCTATTTGTAAGAGAGCGTAGAAGTACTTGCCTCCAATGACATCACCGTGTTAAAATAATGACTCAAAATGCTAATGAAGAAGTAGTGAAAAGAGGTTTTATTAGCTTTTAACTCATTACTTTTCAATGTAAGTTTTTCCTGGGAATGACTACAGTCATTTTGACCAGATATACTTGGTAAAACGTAAGTCTTAGGTTTTTTATTGTTTGAAAGCATTCCAACAACACGCAGAAGCAACATTTGGTTCCCGGATTGCTTATTTAAGATGTGATAGGGGCACGGAGTACTTGGCAGAGCGGTTTAACAGGAGTGTAGTGGAGAAAGCAAGAACTATGCTAATTGATTCCGGTCTAAGCAAGTGTATGTGGGGAGAGGCTGTTCAAGCTGCAGTTTACTTATTAAATAGAAGTCCTACAAGTAGTGTACAAAATAAAACTCCAGCAGATGGAGTTGGTGTTTATTGGATATGCTGTTAGCGGTTATCGACTGTGGAACCCCGTAAATAAACAGATCATTGTGGTCGGAAATGTAAAATTTGATGAGAGCAATTTCCCAGCAAAAGTAATGTCTCAAACTAAAATAAAAACGATGGTACTGAAGAATCGAAAAATAAAGAAGATATACTTGTTGTAAAAAGATTTAAAGTTGATGAAGGTGATGCATGCAACGATGTTAAAGTAAATGATGATGATGATGAAGAAGAAGCAGTAGCGCTCCGGCAGCAAACAAATTTTGCAGGACAAAGGCAAAGTTGC